TTTTTTATAAATTATTTTATTTTTTATATTTTTCATAGATTCTTCCATTTTTTATGAAACCATACTCCAAATTTTATATCATTTTGATTTGTAAAAAACTAATAAAAAATAAAATACTACCAAACAATCATGATCGTGCGATGAACTTTAGACGGTGATTAAAGTAGACGAAATCACTACCCATTTTGACCTCTAAAGTCTTAAGAGATCTTTACGCATGCTTTATTGCATTTTATATTCTTGGCCAAGACAACACATATCTTATTATACTAATATATTTGTGGCCTTAATTCAATGATGGATAAATTTTGAAAAGATGTAGCCAAACAACCCCACCCTAGGCTTTTCTCAAAAAGACATCTTGTATTTTGGGGCATTACCATATGGACGCGGTTTCTATGCGGCCAAGCCCGCATATGTTGAAATGTGGATCTATTAATAAATATATATTTTAGATGGATTTTTGAAGTTAAATTTTAAGGATATATAATTTCTAACATGGAGATTATGAATATAAAAAAATAAATAAATTTAAAAAACTAGAAATAATAATTCTAGTAAGAAAACATTTGGACCGTTAGTTTTCATGGTTTTAGATGAAACGCCTACTTGCAAGATGGTTTGTTTTACACTTTTTGGACCGCATATGTAATCATGCGGTCTAGCTCGCATGAGACAATTTTCCTTTGGTATATACTATTTTTTTGTTTTCTCTCGTATGGAATCTCTTCACAAGGGATATATTCAGAATCCCATCTATAACACTTATGGTCTTGAAATGAGGATTGTTGATTTTGATTGGGGTCCAGTTAAGGACTTATAAGTTTTTTTATAGAATTAGGAATCAGTCTGATTCAGTGTGAATCCCTCAGTTTTATTAGAGAACTACTGCAATTTTATCAGAGGAATTACTTATTGGGATTGTATACAATGAGGTCACAATTACTTATAAACATTCGATGTGAAATCTGATAGTTTGGATGTGTCATAAAGTTCGAAAAAATTTCTTTTAAAGTTTGAGCTCTCAGTTGTCAAGATCAATTGTGATCACCTTCTACCAAAAGTAAATGGTCTCATATATACTTTTCCTTACTTATTAAGGTAAAAAATGGGACGATTCTGGCTTAAATTATTATTATTTTTTTCTAATTTTAGGTTTTATTGTTTTTTTTTACTCTTGATAAGTGGCCGATCTGGATCATAGTCTCTTAAATGGGACTCAATTTCCAGTTTCAAAACAATGCTTCGAAAATATGGTTTTAATATTATTGGTCCGAAAGCCTAGAGACCTAGTTACGCGTTTCATTGATATAAA